GTGGCAGATAAAAATCAGGAGGACACCTCGCTGAGAAGGTCCTCCCTGAGGACTGAGGAGTCCCGGTCCCACACCAGGCACCTCGCTCAGAGTTCCAGTGCCAGGAAGACAATCCCCATAACTTCTGGCTGGAAAAACCAGCGGGAACTGAGGCTCAGGGAGGCTGAGGCAGCTGGAGCCCCAGGCAGCTCCTCTTAAAGGGCCCACACACAGACTTATCGGACTCTCCCTCTAAGCCTGGAGGAGAGGCAGCTCAAGGGGCGCCAGAGACATACAGGGAAGAACTGAGCTGTTTGGCATTGGAGCAAGGGCTGGAGAGGGGGCTTTCTCTGGGATAGATGTGCTGTCAGAGGCCTTTGTTCCTTTGGTGAGCCCTTCCCTGGGGCGGCAGACAGCTGCCACATCTGGTTCTCCAGCAACCTGGCTCACACTGGTAGCCCCAACCAAGTGATTCCTGGAGGCCCCGCCTCACGAAACTTTCAGGCCCACTCAAGCTGTTGCCAGTTGCTTTTTTTTTTTTGGTACGTACCCATAACAAGAACCGAACCCGAGATTCTGGTCTACAGGCCAATGCTCCAACTGCTGAGCCAAACCGGCCAGGGCTGTTGCCATTTGCTTAACCATAGGATTGGCCCGTCTTGGATTCTGCTTCAGGTTTTCCTAAATTCTTTCAAACGAGCAGCATCGGGTCTCAGCTAGCCCCATACCTCTCATTAAGTAATACACAGAAACAAACACAGAGAGGCAGCCAAAATGAAGAGACAGGTCCCAAAGGAAAGAACAGAACAAAACCCCAGAAAAAGAACTAAGTGAAATGGAGATAAGCAACCTAACAGATGCTGAGTTCAAAATACTGCTTATAAGGATGCTCAATGAACTTAGTGAAAACCTCGGTGAATTTAGCAAGGGCCTCAAGAGCATAAAAAAGGACCAGTCAAGCCCTGGCCAGTTTGGCTCAGCAGTTGGAGCATTGGCCTGTGGACCAGAGAGTCCTGGGTTCGGTTCCCGCTAGGGGCATGTAAAAAAAAAAAAAGGACCAGTCAGAAATAAAGGATGCACAGTCAGAAATGAAGGAGGCACTAACTGAAATAAAGAATAATTTACACAGATTCAATAGTAGAGTAGGTAAAGCCAAGAAGCAAACCATAGATTTGGAATCTAAGGAAGCAAAAACACCCAATCAGAACAGCAACAAAAAAAAAAGAATCCAAAAAAATGAGGATAGTGTAAGGAGCCTCTGTGACAACTTCAAGCATGCATCTTGGGGGTGCCAGAAGGAAAAGAGAGAGAACGAGAAATCAAAAACCTACTTGAAACAATAATGGCAGAAAACTTCTCTAACTTGGTGAAGGAAACAGGCATACAAGTTTAGGAAGCACAGAGAGTCCCAAACAAGATGAACCCCAAGAGGCCCACACCAAGACACATCATCATCAAAATGCAGGCCAGAAGGGCAAGAAATATTCAGAGTGATGAAGAGCAAGAACCTACAACCAAGATTACTCTATCCTGCAAAGCTGTCACTTAGATTCGATGGCCATATAAAGAGTTTCCCAGACAAGAAAAAGTTAAAGGAGTTCATCACCACCAAACCATTATTATATTAAAGGTTGAAGGGTCTTTTTGAAGAAAAAGATAAAATATATGAACAAACAAAATGGCAATGAATACATATCTATCGACAATGGAATCTACAAACAAAATGAACAGGCAGAACAGAAACATTCTCATAGATACAGAGAACATTTCGTTGGTTGACAGATGGGAGGGGGGTTGGGGGAATGGGTGAAAAAGGTGAAGGGATTAAGAAGTACAAATTGGTTGCTAGACTGACAAACCTCAAAGGGAAGGGGGTTGGGGGGTGGGAAAAAATAAACCAAAGAACTTGTATGCATAACCAATGGACACAGACAACAGTGTGGGAAAAGACAGGAGGAGGGTGGGAGTGGGGAGGAGGGTGTCAATAGGGGGAAAAGGAGGAACATCTGTAATATATTCAACAATATATATATTTTTAAAAGATTAGTTTTTCATGCATGATTTCTATAAGTTCTGGATTTGCACACCTCAATGTATGTTTTATTATACTGATCAATAGATTTTTGAAAGGATGTATTATTAGTTCAAACTTTACATTTCTCATAGTGTGAAGATCTTAGGGACTGAACAATGTTAGTATGCAAACAAAATTTAAATAAAATGAGCAACTGATAATCTGCATTAGGTAACCTAACCAGGGGAAGAAGTATAAAGGTGTGGATTTGAAATTGGATGGGAACAGCAAATGTAGTAGTACAATGATTGCTGTGCCTGGTCAAGTTGAAAACATGTGAAATAGGAGTCAATGGCCATATGGTAATGAGCACCGCTCTGGCACACATGCTCAGTGAGGAAGTGGGAAGGAGAGTCCAAAGGGTGAATGGCTGTATATTCAAGTATATTTTAAAACCTTAAGTTGTCCTTTTCAACTGACCTTGAGTCCCTGGTTAAATACTTCTGAGCAGTATGCATACTTTTCTTGTCTTCAGGGTTCTGACCCTTATTAATGTACTTCTTGGATCTTAACTAGCTTTTTATTTTTTTATTTTTTTATTTATTTATTTATTTTTATTTTTTAATCCTCACCTGAGGATATTTTTCCATTTTTTGTACAGATAGAATGGGAGGGAGAGAGAGGAAGGGAGAGAGAGAGAGAAACATCGACATGAAAGGGACACATCGAGTGGCTGCCACCCGCACGACCAACCAGGGCCGGGGACAAACTGCAACGGAAGTACATGCCCTTAGCGGGAACCAAACCCGGGTCTCTCCGGACCGCAGGCCGACGATCTAACCGCTGAGCCAAACTGGCCAGGGCTATTTTTTTATTTTTTTACAGATGTTTCTCCTTTTTTCCCCACTGATACCTCCTCCCCCACCCTCCCCACCCTGTCCCCAGCTTTGATGTCCATGTCCATTGTTCATGCATACATGCATATAAGTTCTGTGGTTTATCTCTCCCCCACCACCCCCTCTTCTGGGGATTGTCAGTCTGTACCTCACTTCCACTTCTCTGGGACTACCCCATTCCTCAGACTGTTATGTTCATTATATTCCACAAATAATTGAGATCATGTGATATTTGTCTTTCTTTGCTTGGCTTGTTTCACTTAAGATAATACTCTCCAGGTGACCCGTCCCGCAGGTCGAGCAATGAGGACTCTAGAGGGGGAGTGAGGATGAGGAGGGACAAGAGACACGAGAAATGGAGACAAGACAGGGCTCTGATCAAGTCTCGTTTATTCTGGGGAGATCCACAGTATATATATGGCAAGAAGCAGAAAAACAAGAACATTTGTTGCCAAGCCATGTCTGTGGTGACCACCCCGAAGCAATTTCAAGTAAATATCATGTAAATATCACAGGTGGAACAAAAGACAAACAGAGCATAACTGGCTGAGTAAATGGTTACTTAAAGGAATGCAGAAACATTGTATGCAGAGATGCAGACAGAGATATCCTGCCTTGGGGCAGGAGATGGCAGAGCAGATTTTTGCAAAATGGATGCCATGCAAACAGTCTCCCACATCCAGGTCCCTCCATGTCGTCTCAAAGGATAAGAGATCCTTCTTTCTTATAGCTGCATAGTACTCCATTGTGTATATGTACCACAGCTTTTTTATCCATTTGTCTACCGATGGACACGTGGGCTGTTTCCAGATCTTAGCTATTGTAAATAGTGCTGCTATGAACATGGGGGTACATATATTCTTTCTGATGGGTGTTTCAGGCTTTTTAGGGTATATTCCTAGAAATGAGATCACTGGGTCCAATGGAAGTTCAATTTTTAATTTTTTGAGGTAACACCATATTGTTTTCCATAGTGGCTGCACCAGTCTGCATTCCAACCAACAGTGTACTAGCTTTTTTATTAAATAGCTCATTTATCAAAGGAAGTTAGCACTTCCTTGTGTTGAATGCAGTACAAGTTGATGTTGCCAATATTCAGTCAATATCACAATACTTCATCTAGCTAATAAGAGTTTCCTAATGAGGTATCACCTCACACCTGTCAGAATGGCCACCATCAACAAATCATCAAACAACAAGTGTTGGCAAGGGTGTGGAAAGAAGAGGACTCTAGTACACTGCTGGTGGGAATGCAGACTGGTGCAGCCACTATGGAAAACAATATGGTGTTACCTCAAAAAATTAAAAATTGAACTTCCATTTGACCCAGTGATCCTGCTTCTAGGAATATACCCTAAAAAGCCTGAAACACCAATCAGGAAGAATATATGTACCCCCATGTTCATAGCAGCACTATTTACAATAGCTAAGATCTGGAAACAGCCCACGTGTCCATCGGTAGACAAATGGATAAAAAAGCTGTGGTACATATACACAATGGAGTACTATGCAGCTATAAGAAAGAAGGATCTCTTATCCTTTGAGACAACATGGAGGGACCTGGAGAGTATTATCCTAAGTGAAACAAGCCAAGCAGAAAAAGACAAATACCACATGATCTCACTTATTTGTGGAATATAATGAACATAACAGTCTGAGGAATACGGTAGACCCAGAAACATGGAAGTAGGGCACAGACTAACATCCCTAAGAAGGGGGGGGGGGGAGCTTAAACCACAGAACTTATATGCATGTATGCATGACCAATGGACATGGACAACAAAGCTGGGGATGGGCGAGGGTAAGGTGGGGAGGGGGGTGCCAATGGGGTAAAAAAGGAGAAACATCTGTAATAAATAAATAAATAAATACACAAACAGTTTCCTAATAAGATTCATATTTTTTATTCATTTTTACCTGGTCACCTAGTCAATCTGAAAAATAATCATATTAAAACACAATAATTTTCTCGGTGCTGTGCTCCCTGTGGAGCTCGTTGCAGCTTGGGCCTGAGTCCCAAGGACCCAGCTCCCCTGAGGGCCGGTTGGCGGCCGCCTGGGATGCACTCATCGTGCAGCCTTCCCGGCATTGGTGCCGCATGGCCTTGGGAGTCAATGCATATGTGGATGTGGTCCTCTCAGGGGTGAAGCTCTTGCAGGCACTTGGCCTGAATCCTGGGGATGGGAAAGATCACTCCATCCTGCATTCAAGGAATGATCTGGAAGAAGCCTTCACTCACTTCATGGTGAAGGGAGCAGCTGCAGAGCGCTTCTTCAGCGATAAGGAAACTTTCCATGACATTGCCCAGGTTGCGTCCAACTTCCCAGGAGCCCAGCACTATGTAGGAGGAAATGCAGCTTTAACTGGACAGAAATTTGCAGCCAACTCAGATTTAAAGGTTCTTCTTTGTGGTCCAGTTGGTCCAAAACTGCATGAACTTCTTGATGACAATGTATTTGTTCCACCAGAGTCACTTCAGGAAGTGGATGAGTTCCACCTCATTTTAGAGTATCAAGCAGGGGAGAAGTGGGGCCAATTAAAAGCTCCCCATGCCAACCGATTCATCTTCTCCCACGACCTCTCCAACGGGGCCATGAATATGCTGGAGGTGTTTGTGTTTAGCCTAGAGGAGTTTCAGCCAGATCTGGTGGTGCTCTCTGAATTGCACATGATGGAGGGACAAAGCAAGGAGCAACAGAGGAAGAGACTCTTGGAGGTTGTGACCTCCATTTCTGACATCCCTGTTGGTATTCCAGTTCACCTAGAGCTGGCCAGTATGACCAATAGGGAGCTCATGAGCAGCATTGTGCACCAGGTCTTTCACACAGTGACTTCCCTTGGGCTGAATGAACAGGAGCTGTTATTTCTCAGCCAGTCGGCAGCTGGACCTCACTCTTCTCTCTCTTCTTGGAACGGTGTTCTTGATGTGGGCATGGTCAGTGACATCCTATTTTGGATCTTGAAGGAACATGGGAAGAGTAAAAGCAAAGCCTCAGACCTCACCAGGATCCATTTCCACACACTGGTCTACCACATCCTGGCAACTGTGGATGGACACCGGGCGAATCAGCTGGCAGCTGTGGCTGCAGGAGCTCATGTGGCTGGGACACAGGCCTGTGCAACAGAAACCATAGACACCAGCCAAGTGTCTCTGAGGGCACCGCACGAGTTCCTGACTTCCCGTTCGGAGGCAGGCTCCAGGATCATATTCAACCCTGATGAGCCAGTGGTAGAATGGCACCGGGAGGGGGTGTCCTTCCACTTCACACCTGTATTAGTGTGTAAAGATCCTATTTGAACTGTGGGCCTTGGAGATGCCATTTCAGCTGAAGGCCTCTTCTATTCAGAAGTACATTCTCACTATTAGGAAGGTTGTTGTGGATAATTTTTCTGAAGAGGGAGAACTAGCCAATTTAAGAATTATAGGAATTAATTGGTTTGGAAAATAGGATTGAGGTGTCAAAACAGTTTCTAGATTTAATTCAAAGACAGCCAATGAAACAACAGCAGATCAGATACATTCCAGCCTATTGACAATTATGCAAAAACATTTCAGGTTTTAGTCAAAATTTATCTACTACTGAGACTGGATTTTTGTTTTTTATGTTGTGTGTTATAGGGATAAAGACCCGAATCCCAAATCCCAGTTTACACAGATTGTCAAGTATTTCAGGCCAGACTTCTTCACTCTGGAGTGCATGCCCGCTGGAAAAAACACCTCCCTCCTGCCCCCTTCAGAAGTGCATGCACACTGACCATGTCTAATACAGCCCACTGTGAGCTTCTCATGTTCTCTCTCAGCTCAGTGCTCGTGGGCAAGGTCATGATTTCCATTCAGTGTTACAATGAAAATACTTAATGAGCATACTTTCTCAGTCTTCTCTCAAATTTAAGACAGCCCCAAGTAAGGACAAATTCACCTCTCCTATGCTTTAGTCACAGTGAGGCAGGAGCCCTATGGGGCCTTCGTGGGAATCAGCCATTCCGCACTGGTTTAGAAGCCTGGCTGACCTGCAGGGTGGTGGGTGGCCATGCAAGCTGAAGGGCTGTGCCTTCCTGTCCTGGCTTCTTAGATTATAGGCCAGCTGGTCAGAGACTACCATGCTGGGCCTAACCTTGTTGCCTAGCTCTGGACATACTTTCTCCAGTAGAAAACATCTTTGTTCATTCCAGTCCTTGAAGGAATTTGCTGTTACAACTGGAATATGCTTATGTGTGTGTAACTGATCATGTGTATTTCTATTAAAGAGTTTGACCTCATAAGAGCCCCAGGATTATGAAGAAATTTGTCACGTTATGAATTTATTTTTTTATAAATCAAGGAGACGTCTGTGTGCTTTTAAATATATTAAAAACAATTACATTGCAGAATCCTAAAAAAAAAAAAAAAAACACACAATAATTTTATTAAATGCTATGTGTACAAAGAGAACAAGAAAGCATTGCAGAGGAACATCTAGCACAGAGAAAGGAGAAAAGAATGTATCAGATAATATTTCCTGAAGGAGGTGACATTTTCTCTGAATCTTGAAAAAGTCACCAAGTGCAGAAGCATGTGCCAAGCAGAGAAAAACAAGCTACAAAGAATAGTTTTTATAATGAGGAGCAGTCAACTGTAAGTATATAGAATTTGTTGGAACAATGGCATGAGTAACGTCAGGATATGAGCCTCACTACTTAGGAAAGAAACAAATCATAAAAGGTGTTAACTTGTATTTTGAGATGTTTTATTTCTTCTTTAAAATGATGGAAAGTCACTTAAGGATTTCATATAAAAATATAATCATCACGATGTTTATGTTAAAAAATAATTATCTATCACATTACTGAGAATGCATTTATAATTAGAAAAAATGTTAAAAGACGCTCAGATTAATTCAAGTTAAAAATATTACTATGAACATAAACTAAAGAAGAGAAGATACAGTAAATATTTAGGACATAAAATACACAGGGCTTGAATGGGTTGGAAATGTAAAGAGAATGTAAGATGAATCTTAAGTTAACCTCCAATTTCTTGCTTGGTCAACTAGATAAATGGTGGTATTACCCCAAAGATCCACATTAGGAATAAATTTGAAGAGAAGGTGAGGAGGTTTGGGTGTGATAAATTTGAAATGTCCAAGTGAAAAGACTATTATATAAATAAGCCTAGAACTCAAGAAGGTTTTTCCTGGAAAATGTTGACTTGGTAATTGCCAGGGTATTGGTAAAGCAATGATGATTCCACACAATCAGACTTCAACAATATATTTCATAACTCCCTGAATATACAGCAACAATGTTTATACTTGTTCACAATCCAGTAAGAATTATAGTCCTGCTCCATCAATTTATATCTGAGCATATGTCCTATACCTGTATAGAGAGACTTACATCTCACCCACACACCAACATTCCCACCACAGAGACATGGAAGCATGGAACAGACTGATGAATCTCAGATGGAAAGGAGAAGGGAGAAAGGAAGAGATTAACCAAAGAACTTATATGCATAACCCATGGACAATAGAGCAATGAAGGCCTGGTGGGGGAAAGGGAGCAGGATGGGAGCATGGGAGAAAAGAGAAAACATCTGTAATACTTTCAACAGTAAGGATATGTATATATATGTGTGTGTATGTATGTGTGTATGTATGTGTGTGTGTGTGTGTGTGTGTATATATATATATATATATATATATATATATATATAAATAAAATCTTTTTTTTAAATTACCAAACTCATAAAAAAACGAGATCCCATTTGTGCTTACCAGAAGGGGGGGGGGCTGATATGGTATTCAAAAGGTACAAACTTCCAGTTATAAGATAAATAAGTACTAGGGTTTATATCCTAATAACCTCAATGATGACTGTAGCTAAAACTGTTATGTCATGTATAGGAAATTTATTAAGGGGGTAGATCCTATGGTTTCTCATCACAAGGGGAATTTTTTTCTTCTCTTTTCATTTTATCTATATGAGATGATGGATGTGAACTAAATCTAATATGGTAATCATATATATATGATTTTAAACACCTGAAACATATAGAATGATGTATGTCAATTATTCAATAAAAATTTAAAAAAATTGCCTGGCCGGTGTGGCTCAGTGGTTGACCCATGCACCAAGAGGTTGTTGGTTCGATTCCTGGTCAGGGCACATGCCCAGCCCTGGCCGGTTTGGCTCAGCGGTTAGAGCGTCAGCCTGCGGTCCAGAGAGACCCGGGTTCGGTTCCCGCTAAGGGCATGTACCTCGGTTGCAGTTTGTCCCTGGCCCTGGTTGGTTGTGCGGGTGGCAGCCACTCGATGTGTCCCTTTCATGTCGATGTTTCTCTCTCTCTCTCTCTCTTCCTCTCCCTCCCTCCCACTCTATCTGTACAAAAAATGGAAAAATGTCCTCGGGTGAGGATTAAAAAAAAAAATAGAGGCACATGCCCAGGTTGTGGGCTAAATCCCCAGTGAGGGGTATGCAGGAGGCATCCAATCAATGTTCTCTCTCATTGAAGTTTCTATCTCTCCCTCTCCCTTCCTCTCTCTCTAAAATCAATAAAGAAAAAAATTTTTTTAATGAAATAAAAATATTAACCACTAGCAGTCTCTTTCCTTATGACAAAATTCATGTATTGTATGCCTCAAGTACAAAATTTCTTATCTTCCCTAAATATGGGATGCCTTTACCCATTTCCTTCCCATAGAATATTTTATTTCCCCAGCTCCACAATCTTTTTTTTTTTTGAAACAGCCTTATTTATACTATCTTGGGCTAAATGAAGACAAACATTCCTTGTTCTTAGAACAAGATTATAAATGCTCATCAGAGCCCTGGACAGGTAGCTCAGCTGTTCAGTGTGTCATCCTAAAGCACCATGGTTGTGTGGGTTCTGTCCCCATTCAGAGCACAGACAGGAGTCAACCAATGAGTGCACAGATAGGTGGAACAGCAATTCAATGTTGTTGCTGTTGTTTCTTAATAGATTTTAGAAAGAGAGGAAAGGAGAGGGAAAGAGATAAAAACATCAATGAGAGGGAACATGGATTGGCTGCCTCCTGCATGCCCCCCCACTGGGGATTGGGCCCACAACCTGGGCATGGGCCCGGACCCAGAATCAAACTGGTGACCTTTTGGTGCATGGGTCGATGCTCAACCACTCAGCAACACTGCCGGGCAATGTTGTTTTTTTCTCACGCTCTCTAAAATCAATAAAATAAATAAATTCTCATCAGAAAGAAGTGACTTTTGGCTTTTTTAACAATCAGTATTTTAGCTGTTTTGCTGCTTGAGTGTCAGAAGGTACATTACAATATAGTCATGTTTATCAGGCTGATATTTTTTTGTCATCTTGTGACACGTCTTTCAAAGTCATGTTTGAAATGTCAGGATTTGGTTGAGCAGCAGGTAAAGGCGCCTGAACGGAGTTTCCAAGTTCCTTCAGGTCTGTTCATGGCTTGTAGCCTTATCTTTCACTGGTGTGCACTTCTGTTACCCTCCCTCTTTTTATTTCACCACCAACATGCTGGCCAGCTGCTCCACCATCATTTAAAGTAGGGTGCCACCATCCACACAGCAGGGTTTTTAACTTAGAAAAAAAATGTTCTTTGTTAATCTAAATACCTCTAGTACAGAGAATGACATATTTATAGAAATAAATAAGGACGCCCTCAAAAAATGAGTGTTAAAAAATCCCTGAGTGTATAAATATATTTTTGATGTCAGTAGCCTGCTTTACTTGTAGGAAGCTTTTGATAGTCTTCATGCTTTGGTTGCCTAATGCTTTGGTTGCCAGTCAAAAATAAATTGGGTTTCTGGTAACACCTTTGCTCTAAATAGCATAAAAACAAATGACCATGTCATACTATGTATACTGCCAGCAGCTATAGCACACCAGGATAATGGCTCAGATTGGGGTTTCTGATCCATTGCTCAGTCAAAGGCTGTGTTTTGAATGTTGACACAGGCCACACAATGAACTCACTGTTAATTTTAGGATTGATACAAACTCAGAAATAGGCTTTTCTCCCTTCAGAACTCAGATTATTTCAGCAATGATAATGATTTTCCAAGCTGGCAGTCTATTATAGTGCTTAAACCCATTCAAAACATAGAATACACACTCCAACAAATGTTAAAAGGGCTTCTGTAATAAGCAGAAGAAATAGAAAAAGAAACATAACCATAATAAACAAAAATGGCAATAAAGAAGTACATATCAATAATAACCTTAAATATAAATTGATTAAATGTTCTGATCAAAAGACACAGAGTAGCTAAATGGATAAGAAAACATGACTCATGTATATGTTGTTTAAAACAGACCCACCTCACAACAAAAGACTCACATAGGTTGACAGTGAAGAGTTGGCAAAAAAATTTTCCAAGCAAACAGAAAGAAAAAAAAAGGCTGGAATAGCAATACTCATACCTGATAAAATAGACTTCAAAATGAAGGTCAT